CCCGGGGCGGCTGGACGGGGCCCGAGCAGTTGGCGGGATGGGCCTGCTGCTTGATGAACACGCCGATTTTGGTTAAGACGAAGAAAATACAATTTCAAAAGTGGCTGTGTGCTTTTTTTCCTAGCAGAAGGTCCTTCTGTACTTCTTTCTCTTGAAAATTTGAGAGGATTTCTCGATTTCTGGTTCGTTTGTGCCCTTCTCACTATGTAATGTTGGCTGTGAATGTTACTGAAAACAATGGTCACTATAGGCCACTCTATTTCTGTCTGCTACTAATAAAATAATGCCAGAAATGACTTGATTCCTGAATAGCTTTGTGTCTATCGTGATTCTATATCACTTTACATAGCCTGAGCTGTAACAGATGCCAGTTGCATCGCATTAGCGTTAAATACTGCAAAGTATGAATTTGCATGTGTAGTGCTTTACCTTTTTCTTTTTGTTTCTTGACTGTCTTTATATTTTGATTATAGATGACTTTCAAAACTTTTGTCTAGAGAAATTGATTGCAGCAATGTTTTTCTAGATCCATATGCTCAACTTCTTCTTGAGGCTATGAAGCAATCTGGTTGGTATGTAAACTAATTCATCTTGTTCTGTGTAGTAACATTGCTGTTATATGGAGTTACTGGTCTTTTTCAAATTCTTCCCTATAACTTTGCTTGTTTGGGTCTTTCAGCACTGTCTTCAATGACCGGCACTTTTCTTGTGAAACCTGTGATGGCTGTGTCAGTGGAGGTTTTGATTCTGCCACATCTCAGGTAGGCACTGGACATTGTCCTCTTTCAAAAGGCTACAATTTTTTTTAGTGTTTTGTTACTAGGATTAAATCTACTAATGCTGATATCTGAGTTAGTCATGAAAACAAGATAAATGAAAAGTGTTCCATAGTGGTGGAACTAGTACACTGCAGAATGATGAGGCTGTTAAAGTTGAAAAACATTGATCTAAAGAATCTAAATGCTGTAGGTGATGTGTGCTGGGTCTCTGAGAAGTAAGGGAGATGTTGAAACTTGGTGAAAAGACTACCTATATCTTTTCTTCTACAGATTGTTCTGTGTCAGAACAACATTCGCCACCAATCCCATATGAACCGGGTGGTCACACATGAATTGATTCATGCTTTTGATCACTGCCGTGCACATGTTGACTGGTTTAAAAATGTCAAACACTTAGCATGTTCAGAGGTAAGTTAAAATGCTTCTAATGTTGTCATTAATTACGGCTGGTTATTAGGGATGTTTCATGTTTAAATAGGCATGCTGTTACACAGACTTCATTTGGTTTAATCCTGTTAAGACATTTTGTCCTTTCTGTCAAGTCAACCTCAACAGTGTCATTCAGAAAACAAACATTTAGTTTTCACAAATATTAGTAAGTCAGTGTCATACTAAGTAGAATGTGATCACCGTGAGTGTAACCGCAACAAGAAGTGGTTATTGACAAATGAGAGTAGTTAGAGATGAAAACACATTCACACATTAATCAAACGTTTATAGGGTTCTTTTTCTCCCCTGCAAATCTTGGTATGTTGCGTAGCTATCACAGTAGTATGGTAACCTTATTTTTGTTTAGGTCTTTTTGGCTAACAACAAACTTGTCTTTTCCTGTAACATACATTTTTTTGATTAATTGTGATGTTGCTAATAGTACACTTTAGTTAGGACTCCCTGTCTATTTCAGAGGACATAGGAATTTGCTGCTTGAAAGGCCTTAAAAATTGATGCATTAGGAGGTGAAATTAAACTGAGCACAGGCTAGTAAAGATTCCTCTTGCGTACATGACTCTTGTATTCACATGCTTTTAGTTGATTTCTGAGGTAATCCATATATTGTGATGTTGCTAATAGTACACTTTAGTTAGGACTCCCTGTCTATTTCAGAGGACATAGGAATTTGCTGCTTGAAAGGCCTTAAAAATTGATGCATTAGGAGGTGAAATTAAACTGAGCACAGGCTAGTAAAGATTCCTCTTGCGTACATGACTCTTGTATTCACATGCTTTTAGTTGATTTCTGAGGTAATCCATATCATTTGACCACAGAAAAAATTACCCTTATGATTAATATTATGAAAGTACATTCTTGTGACTGTGTGAATTAGGTGTCTTTTTAACTGGTTTTTAGAAATATACAAAATGATATAAAAATGTTATAATGGCTTTGTTTTGGGTTCTTTTTTTGGTTGTGGGGGTTTTTGTTTGTTTGTTTTTAATGAGAACATACTTGATTCCAGACTTAAGGCGTGCACAGGTTTCACCTATAAACAGTATGTGAGAGAACCAAAGTGATGAGTTTGGTACAGAACAAATCAGATTTCATAAAAATTAATTTTAATTCATTAATTGGATTTATATTTGCTGTGGAAGAGAGTCACAGTCACGTATTATCTTTATCTTTTTATAGATAAAACTTAATGAAGTAACCTTATGTGGTATTGGTAAAGCTATTCTGTATAACTGGGGGGGGTTGACCTTGGCTGGCTGCCAGGCGCCCACCAAGCCATTCTCTGACTCCCCCTCCTCAGTAGGACAGGGGAGAAAAATAAGATTAAAAAGCTCGTGGATCAAGATAAGGACATGGAGGTCACTCACCGGTTACCATCATGGGCAAATACAGTCGACTTGGGGAAGATTAATTTCATTTATTGCCTATTAATGACGGAGTAGGATAGTGAGAAATAAAACTAAAAATACCTTCCCCCCCACCTCCCCTTCTTCCCAGGCTCAACTTTGCTCCTTCATTCCTGACTCTTCTATCTCCTTCCCCCCAAAGTGGCACAGGGGGATGGGGAATGGGGGCTGTGGTCAGTTCATAACACTTTCTCTGCTGCTCCTTCCTCCTCACGCTGTTCCCTGCTCCAGTGTGAGGTCCCTCCCATGGGATACAGTCCTTCATGAACTGCTCCAAAGTGGGTCTTTCCCATGGGCTGCTGTTCTTCAAGACCTGCTCCAGCTTGGGTCCTTTCCACAGCGTACAGTCTTTCAGGAATGGACTGCTCCAGCGTCAGCCTCCCATGGGCTGCAGTTCCTGCCAGAAAACCTGCTCCTGCATGCGCTCTCCACAGGCTGCAACTTCTTTCAGGGCATGTCCATCTGCTCTGGCATGGGGTCTTCCTCGGACTGCAGAGTGGGTATCTGCTCCACTGTGTTCCTTCACAGGCTGCAGGGAGACAACCTGTGTCACCATGGTCTTCTCCGCAGGTGGCAGGGGAATCTCTGCTCTGGTGCCTGGAGCACCTCCTCACCCTCCTTCTTCACTGATCTTGGTGTCTGCAGGGCTCTCTCTCTCATGTTTTTCTCACTCCTCTCTCTCACAGCTGCCATGTAGTGTTTTTTATCCTTTCTTAAATATGTCATCACAGAGCTACCGCTGTCACCGCTGATGGGCTCAGCTTTGACCAGTGGCAGGTCCGTTTTAGAGGCAGCTGAAACTGGCTCTGTCTGACATGGGGGCAGCCCCTTGTCTCGTCTTGCAGAAGCCACCCCAGCAGGCCCCCCACTGCCAACATCTTGCCATGGAAACCCAATACAATAATTCAGAATTGTTAACTATTTTTTTTTTTGTCTAAGCATTTACACACTGCAGAATAAAGCATGTAAGCCTCAAACATAAAATTAGAGAACATACATAAAACAAGATTGTGCTTGTTCTTGCTTTTGTTGAGATTATTTGCTTGCTTCACGTCTTTTGATACTTACTTTATTACATGTTTTTTACAGTTTTTATTGCCATCTTTTTAATTCTTACATTTCATATTTTCCATGCATTTATTCTCACTCTGGTACTTAATTATAGGAAATGTAGTTTTAGTTATATTTCCTAACTGAGGGGGTAGGGTGTGGAACAGTTGGCAGACAAAAGAAATTACAATGCACAGGACAAGACCGTTAACAAGCTAAAGCATACATACTCATTCAAATGTGGCTTTTCCTAAAGCAGGTGCGTTACTGCTCTTCTGGGTATTGCAGCTGTAGTCTTTGAAAGGTATCTGCCTTTCTTCCTGACTCTTGTATCAGCTTCTGATATAGATTGGGGAGAATATTACTTTCCATGTTTTTAGCAGTTCTCTCTCTCAAAATCTCTCTCTCAAAATCTCTCTTTCTCTCTCATACACACACACACAAAATCTCTCTCTCTCTCTCACACTGTTGTGGTTTAATCTCAGTCGGTAACTAAGCACCACGCAGCCGCTCGCTCACTCCCCCCCACCTGGTGGGATGGGGGAGGGAATTGGAAGAGCACAAGTGAGAAAAAGTCATGGGTTGAGATAAAAACAGTTTAATAATTGAAATAAAATGATAATAATATGATAATAATAATACA